CCCGGGTGCGCGGTCCGCGGGCAGAGCGCATCCCCGGCGGGCGGGAAGCGGCCGAATCGGAGCTCCCTTGAAAAATCCCCACTTTATTCCGTCACGATTAAAAATGGAGTCCTGCTTTTCGGTCAGTTTTGTTTGCCGTCGCACAGCAGTTGGGTTTGGCAGGGTAACGTGCTCGCTTCGCATCAACCATTTTATGCTGCCTTTGGTCGGTGGGTTGGGTTTTGGTTCGGAGCGGTTTCGGTGAGGTGGTGTCTTGCGGAAACTTGCATTGCTATTCATGTTTGTTTTGCTGCAAAAGGATGTGTCAGGCTAAAACTAAAGGCAGGCGAAGACTTTATTACAGGTTTACTAAGCCAAAAAACCCCACCTCTTAGGTCTGCTGCTAGATGTACAAACTGTGGTGCAGAGTCTCTGCTCTTCACTTTTTTCCTCTCCCAAGCTGGATTTCAGCATTTTACTCTCCATGCTTTTTAAAAAGTGGGAGGGTGGCTACAACAGGTATTATGTTTTGTGGTAGCTGTTTTGCCTACTGCTGTTAGAAGGGCAGTTCCAAGTGTCTTGGTTTGGTTTTCAAGATGTCTGATTCCCATGTACTATTTATTGGAAACTTTTCCTTAGAAATATTAGCAATTAATTATGAATCACTTTAGCTCACAAGGTCTTTGCCAGACTGTTTTTGTAAGAGTCCCCAGAGAATCATGGAGAATTATTAAAATTTCATTTTTGGGTTTGTTTAGGGATTTTTTCTTTACTATTTGCTTTAGGTGAGTGAACAAGGGAAAAAAAGAAAAAGAGATTAACAGGAGTTAGAATATTGCTAGAGTATTTTTCTCATGACTTCAGTATGGTAATGTAATATCTCCAACATCCACGGTGCAGTTGGCTTCTCTGTGGTCGGGGAGAAACAATATTTTGAATTTATTTATTTTTTTTTTGCTCGGGCACAAGTGGCAGTAGTGGTGCGTTTCTGGTGTGGCTGTATTGCCTGTGGATGATGAGGCGGTGTTCCATCTGCACATGCCACAGGAGGTGATGCCAGTGAACACTGGTAGTTTGCTAGCCAGAGACAAGTTGTCAGTCTTTTTCTGTTGTGAGACTGTGTGTCCTCTGTGCTTGACAAATCCTTCCCCTGTGCTGCCTGGCTTCCTCACAGGTTGAGGCTGCCTTTCTGACATCCAAGCGGAGGTACTCCTTTATTCTCTCTTCCCCTGCTTCCACATGACTTTAGTGGTCAGAAACATCCCTTGACTCTATCATCACCAAATCCCTCACTTTCCCCCTTTTTGCCCCTTCACAACAGAGGTACAACAGCCTTGGCTTCAACATCTGCTGTACAGTGCCTGGTCAGCGCACCTGATCTTTGCCTTGGCAGGATCATTGCATCGTGTCATGCCTTTCTTTTCAGATAATCATAAAGGCTGGAGGGGTAGATGTGGTTGCTAGCTTTATTTTACACTGGCTACTGCCCATCAGATAATCCTGAGCTGTAAGGTCTGTAAATTGTATTCTCTCTGGTACGTGCAAAGCTTTCAACAGTTTTGGTTCAGGTTGTGCTGCAGAATTGGGAATCTGGCTCACGTGCAGGGAAAAGATGAGACAATGATAACAGATTCCCTCAAGTCCTCAAACCCAATGAATCTGAAATGAAGCACTGTAGTGTAGCCACAACCCTGGAGGCAACTAGCCCATTACTAGCCTTCAGACATTTGTAAGAGGCTGTGCTCTTGAGGGTTGCTTGCTCACTAAGCAGTTTATGGAGGATGTGGCCTGCTGCAGTGAGTGGTGGGGTTAATAGAGTTCTGCTGTGCACAGTCAAGTCTTGACTGTTTGTGGGAGACTGTCTGGGTTGTAGATTAAGTCTGCTGGTTTGCAGGGTAGCTCCTAGCCGTGCTGCTTTTGGACCGTGCAGCTGCATGCTGTGTCTTGTGCTGCCTGGGTTCACTGGTCCTGTGAGACCCCGGGCTCGCTCTTCCCTTCTGCGTTGTCACCATGTGCTGCTCTAGTGTAATTTGTGTGTAATTTGTGGTATCACCGCTCTCCTACTCCACCTGTACCCTGGAAAAGCAGTGGATGATCATAATGACATAACCTGCTTTCTTTCATGAATGTGAGAAGACAGAAGTATGCAGAGATGAAAGCTGCGGATTTAACAGTTGAAAGTGTCTGTGCAGACCTTGGCTTTGCATCATGATGTCAGTATGATGTCTAATTATGCAGTCACATCAGGACCCTGCTTCACTCATGAAGAGATAATGATTCAGATATGGGGTTTTTTAAGTCTTCACAGTTCATTGTGTGGTCCATGTATTGTTTCTGCCCCTCATCTATGTGGCATAATGAAACAGAATTTTTAATTTCCTCTGGGCTTCTCTGTGCAGCCCTGACTAGCTGTGCCATATGATTGGGAACTGCCATTACAGCATCCCTTTGTTGTGGAAAGTTCTTGTTCACTTTCACATTTTGATAAATTTTGCCTCAATCTGCACACAATTTTCACTTTAAACAATCAGCCAGTTTTGGCATGGTGACTGAGCAATATCAGTAGACTTTTGTCCTGCCCCAAGAGGGCATTTGTTTTTGGTTTTTTGGTGGTATTTCAATTTTTGCATGTTCAGAGCTCAAACTGTGCTTTAAGGGTTCTAGACTCCCACAGGAGAATCTGGAATGCAGCGAGCATAACCACTGACCAGACATTTTGGCTTTTCTCATCTTGCACTCTTAATTTCTCGGCAGGTATTGGGATCATGCCTATGATCACGGGGGTTCACATTCTCTAGCTATGTCCTCCATTCCTATCTCTTCCATATCAGACCATATGATAGATTAATAATCTTTCTTGACCAAAGTGCATCCATTTCCTGCACTAAGTGATGCGCAGGTCATGGAGAGGGGGTTATGGGGTGTGGGTAGACTTAACAGTTTAACAGTATCACAGTGCACAGGGAAACGGAGATGTGATATCACAGAAAGCCTCATTTCTTAGATTACCTGTCTTAAGAGTGATTGAATGATGTTTCTAAAAATAATTTAATTTTCTCATTTTGTAGCTAGTTTTCGGGGTTACTTTTCTTAAAATCTGAGCTGTCATCATGTAAGAAATCATGTCCCATGCATGGGATTTTGCACCTAGCCCACTGATGACAGTGTTCCTGATGGCAGTAGTTGGTTACCTTCATCTGCAGACATAAATGAGTATAACATTTTGTGGATACTTTGCCCCTTCATCAGAAGAGAAAAATCCATGGGGTTTACTATTAAATCTGAGGAACAAATTCCTATTCTGTCTCTGCTTTGCTGAGGCTGGACACTTTGACTCTCTGCTCCAGTTGTTTTATTTCTCTGTCCTCTAAGCTCATACTCTAGTCTTCACATACAGTTGTTTCTGACCTTATATTCATTACTCTATCCATTTTCTTTGCCTTGTTTCCATTCTTCATCTCATTGTCTAGTCGAGCCAAATCCTCTTCTTTGGGTTGGTCATCCCTATCTTAACAACTTGCTGTTGTTGTCATCCCCTTGTTGTTGTCACTCTTCTCTCCAGCACTGGTGCTGTGAGAAGACTAGAGAAAAGTAAAAGCTATGTCTCCTTAGCTATGCTTTTTCCCTTTAATATGGAATTCATTAAAGCCAGCCAAATTAAACAAAAAACCTAAAAAAACCCCTCAGCATAGCTCATAACTGTCTCTAAATCACTGTCTTATGGTGTACTGGCCACTTTTTTTTAAGATTTTTTTTTTTTTTGTCCCCCTGCCATGGGTGAGCCCTTAAACTGCACAAGTGGCAGAGTTGCTGAATTGGTGGGTTGGCAGGTGGAGCTGCTAAGATTTGTGTGCTTTTGAACACTTCACCTGGGTTTCACAAATTTTTAAGACTGATTTACTTTCAAATAAAAAATTTAATTTAGGAGAAGTGTATGGAGAGGGAAGTCAGTTATCACAGCAGTGACTCATGTGTTGAATGCTGTGACTGGCCAACAATTATGATTTACTAAAAAAAAAAAAAAATTATATCCTGGATGTGGGATAGTTAAAGAGGGACAGAAAATTCATCAATGCAATGTTTAATTTAAAAATGTGCTTCCAGACAATGAATTGTTGTAGTATTTAAGCCTGGATTAATATTTGCTGTCAAATGTTCCCTGCTGCATATAATATCCAGTTCCAGTTTGGCACTCTAGTGATGTTCATTATTGGCATCTTCTTATTATTTAGCCTGAGGGAGTCCCATTGGTATCAGTGAGACCACCTGGAAAATTAAGTTTCTATTCTGTTGCAGTAACTACAAAATTTAGTACCTATTAATTTACTAAGGGGAAATCATTCTGCCGACAATACCATTGTGTTCTTCTAACTGCAGAAATCAACTGAATGCAAATTTCACTGTCTCTATCAATGCAAATTAGGTTCAAAAGGACTTTCATGTTAGTTTTAAGGTTTTTAAAACTATGCAATTACATGCTTTGATAGCAAATGCAGTTCATGTTCTGTAAATCTTTGCAAATGGAATAATGTGCATGATGTTACTGAGTCAAATATTATCCTTTCATGCAAGCGAGCCCACACCAATTTAAGTTTGGGGTTTTTAAAGTTATTTGCTATCAAAATGGTTATCAGTGCCCTGACAGCATTCTGTATTCATGTGATTGGTTATTGCTCAAGTGTAGTGCTTTCATGAGTAAGGTTTAGGCTTGATGTTTGCTCTGTTTCATACAAGGAAATACAGTTTTTGAACTGATTGCTTTGCTTTGTCTGTACTCATCCCATATCTTACTCCCAGTGATCTAACAAGTAGTGACAAAATGATTTCTAGCCCTTGGAGACATTTGTAAGTTTTCTTCAGCCTTGCTTACATCCTTGCATATTGAGACATCCTTTGATATTAAAGTACTGTCATGGCTGGCAGACATCCGTCCTTCTCTGCTTTTCTTCCTGCAGGATGTGTGAGGGAAAAAAACAGAGGAAAAGCTTGCATTCAGCTCAGAGTAAAATGCTACAGCTAATCTTCAAGGTGTCTAAATTATAACAGGATTATTAGGGCATGGGTTTTCTTTAAACTGTTTTGATAGAAATTCAAATAATTTCAAGGAGGCCTCTTGAAGCAGTAATCTAGTCACTGGAGTGG